GATCACTTGTGTACGTGTGATAAATGGTAATTTTTTGATCACTTGTGTACGTGTGATAAATGGTAATTTTTTGATCACTTGTGTACATGTGATAAATGGTAATTTTTTGATCACTTGTGTGCGTGTGATAAATGGTAATTTTTTGATCACTTGTGTACGTGTGATAAGTGGTAATATTTTGATCACTTGTGTATGTATGATAAGTGGTAATTTTTTTGATCACTTGTGTATGTATGATAAGTGGTAATTTTTTTGATCACTTGTGTATGTGTGATAAGTGGTAATTTTTTGATCACTTGTGTATGTGTGATAAATGGTAATTTTTTGATCACTTGTGTATGTATGATAAATGGTAATTTTTTTATCACTTGTGTATGTGTGATAAATGGTAATTTTTTGATCACTTGTGTATGTGTGATAAATGGTAATTTGCAGATTGTATAGTAAGAAACAGAGTAGAGAAAAATCATTTTTCTTGTCAGTTGGATTCTAAAGTAATTGAACCAGCCTGTGTGGACTTTTGACAGGAAAAGAGGATTATTTAGAGCTTTAGATACAACTGTGATATCCTATAGTGTAAAGAATTTTTGTACATACATTTGTATTGTTTTAAATATATTATTATAAAACAAGTGGAACGTGTGCTATCCATTTTTTGTTTCAATTTATGGCCAACAAGTCACAGACACCTAATGTAAAGAACCCAACCCTTTATACAAAAAACTCTGACGTGGATGTTGTTAATGATTCTCATTTTTGGTTAAACTGACTGGCTTTTTGACTTGGATATGATTCTCAATAAATCTTATATCTACCTCAGATGTTAAATCCAATGTTCTTTTATCACAGAACATTAATTGCTTATTAAGAAATAAGAAAAAAAAATGTATCATTCTTTTTTTTAATTGGTAAAAAATTGTACAGAAATGCACTGTATTTCATAGATCCAAGAGACTCCTTTGTATGCAAGTAACATTTAAAGTTTCTTATAATGTTATTTGCAAAGAAACCTATTGCTCTAGCATTTTATTTTACAACTTTTAAACATTTTGTGTGTGTGTGTGTATGTGCAGGTGGACTTGGAAGTTACTCTGCCTGGTGAAGGAAAAGACCGAGTTTTTAGGGTTTCCATAAAATGGATGGCTCAAGTTAGTCTCTATGCATTAGAAGAAGCATTGCAAGGTCGTTCGAGGACCATTCCTGTGGATGCCATACAAGCTCTTGATGTTGTCATGAGACATTTACCTAGCATGACGTAAGTTTTAAATTTTCTTGGTTGTGGAATGTTTCTGAAACTGCAGGTATTAATAGTTATCAAAATTAAAAGAAAATTAACTGTAAAGTGAAATGTTTTATCTATGTTGTGATACAGAACTGTTCATGCAAAAACTTTGTCAATTCTGAAGTCATTACCCTAAAATTTTCTATACATATTTTGAATGGCTTGAATGTCCATGTTTAATTGTTGGAAGTCAAAATTATGTAAATTATTTACATTGTACTTACATTGTACATCCAGGGATGTCACATAAGGCTATTTGTGTTATTTTAGTTAGGAAGCATCTTACTTTATATGTTGACAAAAAAGTATAAACTAATAGTTTTTTGTTTCTGTGTGAAGAAATAAACTTCTGATTAGTTTCTAACACCTTATCTTGACTATTTTAGGTGCTACTGTATAAGGCTGTTATATTCTATTATATATATATATATATATATATAAAGATGAATGTGTTATTTTGTCACCCTAACTCCTCTGAGCCTATTGGCCAATCTCAACCAAACTTGTACGTAATACTACGAACTACAGGGAATGTCGTAAGGGGATCAAAATAGAACTTAACCTGATTTCTATTTTGTAAAGCCTGTTGGTTAATTACTCCTAG